CTTCCCTCGCTGCTGAGTATCATCTACCGCCTCGTGAGAATTTTGTCAGTTAAACTATTAACTCGGGGATCACGGAAAGATATTCACCCTTCAAGGTTTCGAATTCAGCTTTCATGCGCTGGTGCGTGAAATTTTAACCATTTTCCAATGTTTGAACTATTTTTGCATAGACTAAAGTACAAAGCATGAAAATCATTAATAGGCAATCGTTCGATGGGCCGAATTGCACAAAACGCATTATCGCACCGGCTAGTCTGAAAAATTATTATTAGGCAATCGTTTGATGGGCTGAATTGCACAAAACGCATGATTGCACCGGCTGGTCTGGTACGCGTTGATATTTATTTCATATGTGGTACGGAATTTTTCTGCGTTTTTAACGCATGTAACCTGACTTAATTACAGTGCAGTTCATCGGATTTTCCCGTTGGTCACCATGCTGGTATGTTTAATGCTTTCACACAGTACTTTTAGAAATTGTATTTTAATAAATTTTAGTTGGAGCGGTTCAAAAGTACTGCTAATCTGTGATATTTTTGCTTGTTTTACCTTATTCGCGCCTTATATTTGTTTGGCCAAGTATAACTCAGTTTGAACGTCGACTTAATTTTTTTGGCTTCCCTCGTTCTGCATGCAAAATTTCGCAGCTGCGGCATAAATTAAACAGTCTTGCAGGAGTAAAATATCCATAAATTAAGATCAGACATCAGCAGGTATTTGAGAGGCTTTCAAAGATGATATTTTTGTTGCATTGGTGATATTAGAAGTTTTTAGGATGGAATCCCAGTGCACCGTTCTTTGTTAGCTTCAATGCCGGACATTGATGAAAGTGCGAAGTTGCCATCACTTAAGGTTTGCGTTTGCTTCTATGCTTCTTGATACTACTTAGTAAGCCAACCGTGAAATTAAACTGTCTTTTTTGGTCGCTAAAAGGTTTTCTTTTTGAACTGCATATATTTCCGCTAGTGCCCAGCCTCAAAATTAAAAATTTTGCAGGACATTACAGGTGCATGTTTGTAGGATACTACAAAGATTGAAGCGCACTTTGTTTTAAATTTAATTTAATTTTGTTGTAAATTTTATTTGTGCCAACTGCAGTTTGCTTGTAATTTTGAATTGTTAAATCAGACAGATTCGGTTTGTTGATGCTTAGAGTAATACCGGTTCCATTATATGCCGCCACCCATCTGGAAATTCTCCATTTGCTATAGTCAAAATTATATTTTGGTAGCAGAAACTGCATCTTTTTGTGGTCATCGTATTGGTGGTCATGGCGTTGTTTTTTTTTTTTGTTTTTTACAGAGCTAGACATAGTGCATCCCCATCATTATGAGCTTATCTTTTTAAATTCAGTTGCCAGAGGTTTTTCACGCCTTTTCGTGCTGCTGGGACATAATTATTCAAGCATATATGGTCGCCGTCTGATGAAGCCATAAATACCTCCGGACGAAGCGCCCCCGAAAATTTCAATATGTTACTGTGTGGCAACCTTTTCCTATGCATACTAGTCGCTATGGAAAAACAATGGAAATCACTAAAAACGAAATGGAAATTTGTAAAATCAACAGAAAAAAAAGCTCCATTCAGGAATGGAGAATTGCCAGGAGGGCTGAAATTTGAACAGAACAATCATCGACAGCCGCAATGTGAACGAAATGACTAGAGTCATTCACTTTTTTAAACGATGACAGACTTTTGATATAGACAAACGTGGATAGTAGTAGGTGGTGTTCTTAGAAATATTATCAAAATTAAGCATATTTTCACACTGCTCTATGCTCAGTTTTAGCCGGGCTTTTACGGCAGCGATGAGCAGCGCGCATTGATCGAAGCATTTGTCATCGAATACATTAAAATTTACGATGACGAAGATATGGACAGCAGAAAGAATTTGATGGCAGCATACGATGAAAATGTTCGTTTTTCTTGTTTTTCATTTATAAATTGTCATTAAAGTCTTCCTTCGTTTTCCGCTTCAGCTTTTTACCCCTTGTTTGTTCTGGTCATTTTCTTCGCATTATGACTCTAGTCATTTTCTTCATATTTTGGCTCTCGATTTTTGTTTTGTTCAAATTTCAGCCCTCTCGACAATTCTCCATTCCTGGATGGAGCTTTTTTTTCTGTTGATTTTACAAATTTCCACTTCGATTTTAGTGATTTCGATTGCTTTTCCATAGCGACTAGTATCCATAGGAAAAAGGTTGCCACATGATAATATATTGGAATTACCGGGGCACTTCGTCCAGAGGTATCTGTGGCTTCATCAGGAGGAGACCACTTATACTTCTAGCTATGCCAGATTTTTTTATAAGTAGTATTCTTCATCTATGCTTAGAATATGAGTAGTATAAAAAAAATTCGTTTAAGTGAACTTACTTTTGTGGTTTACAACTCTTGCAAACGCAGCTGTTTCGGTGATAAAGCTGCATTTATGACAACGGGGTATTTTTTGATAAATGCTTTTATTTGTTTTTCCCCAATTCTTTCTTTTACATTTCCGATCCCCATTAATTATCTTTTGGCCCTTTCTTCTCCATACCGTAAACCGTTGCTCAGGGAGGAACA